AAACAATTTCACTCCGGTACTACGCTCACAAGCTACAGCATCACCTTACCTTAGGTTACCCTAGGGTAAGTAGTCTACGCCTGCTTTGTGCCGGGCAGTAGCAGAGAAGGTGCTCTACGCTCTCTTCCTCACCTTCGTCTCTGCAGCATCTGCAGAAGTCATTATATGGGATTCCCAGTCTCGCAGCGTGCCTGCCATTCGGGCAATGACCCGTGAGCGCCCCCACTACCAATGAGATATCCGTTCGCTTTAGTTTTACAAGCTTGTACGTCCTTCTTGCGTCAAGGACTGGCCAGGTGAGCTTTGCTCGAACACATGTGTTAGTGTTCTCCCAGCGTTGCTGTGCCATAGACCGCGCATGGTTGCGTGTCAGAAGCCGGAAGGAGGCTAACGGCATGCCCGTTCCTTCCCTGTCTGAAGGGATGCATGTAGTAGTTCCCTTCCTTGCCAGCTCATCTGCAATGCAATTTCCCTCGATGTCCCGGTGCCCTGGCACCCATGTGAGGGTGATACTGACTTGCTGGGCCATCCCATTGAGAGATTTGCGGCAGTCAGTGATTTCTAGTTCTTTCCCTGCGATGTTCAATGGGAGAAGATTAAGAAATATATTAAGGGCCTCTGTTGGTGTAGTTCGGAGCGCCCCGCTGATGCTCACTTCCGCCGATCTCTGCACCCTGCTGAGTAGGGTGAGGGCGGTCGATTTATTTAGCGCAGGCCACCATACCAAGATCCCGTAGAGCAGAATCGGTTGGATGATGGCCGTGTAAATCCAATGCACTATGCCAGGTGAGAACCCCCAACTGGTGATTATGGCTCTCTTGCAAGTGTAGAGTGCATTCGTAGCTTTCTTCACTCGCTCAGTTATGTTGTCGTTCCAGTGCAATTTGCTATCCAGGATGACTCCCAGATACTTAGCACTACGACTGAATGTAAGGGGGACCCCCTTTAGAGTGGGTGCCTCAAGTTCCGGGATCTTGTACTCTCTAGTGAAGAGTACTAGCTCCGTTTTTGTGGGATTTACTCCCAGACCACAAGGGGACGCCCATTGCGAGAGCGTCGATAGTGCCGCCTTCATTAGGTAACACAGTGTCTGCGGGTATTTACCGTTGCATATTATGGCCACATCATCGGCATAGGCTATGACCGTATGGCCTTCCGCTTCCATACGCCGAAGCAACTGGTTGACTGTTAGCAACCATAGTAGTGGGGAGAGGACTCCACCCTGTGGAGTGCCCCTGCTTACAAACTTTCTGCAGGACTGTCCACCCAGTTCGGCATTCACAGCCCTGCTAGTGAGCAGCTGGCTGATGAAGTCGATTAGGATGACGTCCACCCCATGGATTGGGTGATAGCCGAGGGTAGTATATTGTTGAAGGCGCCCTCGATGTCCAGAAAGACTACTAGTGAATACTCCTTAAAAGTGAGTTCTCTATTTTAGAGACCAGAGAGTGGAGGGCCGTATCCGTGGACCTGCCTTTGCTGTACGCGTGCTGCGAATTCGACATTAGAACCGGATTGATTGTCTGCCTAAGGTATATTTCTATAAGTCTCTCCAGAGTTTTTAATAGGAAATACGATAGGCTGATAGGCCTGAAATCTTTAGGTTTGACGTGTGATGCCTTTCCCGCTTTGGGGATGAACACCACTCTAACTTCTTTCCAGCTGGCTGGAATGTGGTTAATTCCTAGGCAGCTTTTGAGCATTGTCAGTAGCCACGGCATGATGTGCGTCAGGGAGTGTTGGAGTTGGGCCGGGACGATGCCTTCTGGCACAGGAGATTTATAGGGCTGGAGTGTTTTTATAGCCCAGCTTATGCGCTGTTCAGTGACAATAGCATCTATCATATGCCTAGGTATCTCCCCTGTGCTAGGAGTAGGGATTGTGCTGATAACATCAGTGCAACCCGGAAAATGCGTATTTATGTGAAGATCGAGCGAGTCCCTGCCGGAGTCTGTCCAACTGCCGTCACCCCTTTGCAAAATTTAGTGGTTTACGTTTGGTTTTGTAGACCGTGCTCGGACAGGCTTTATTAAGCGAGTCTGAGCACGTTCTGGTGAAGATGTCTACAAGCCTGTCCAGCTCGTCCCCCGTAGTGGGTTCAGAGTTATGCAGGGAGGGTAGATTTTTGGTAATCAATCTGAGATAATACCCCCAATTGGTCTTCCTTGGGTTTTTTCTTTTGATAACGGCTGGGACTTGATACCCTAGCCTGAATTGGATGAGTCTATGGTCCGAGAATGAGGGTTCATCTAGGACCCTCCACTAACACCTCCCAACGATTCTTAGTGACAAAGGTGGGGTCGTTCCCTATGTTACAAATTAGCAAATTGCTACTTATTATGTAGTCGTATACTGACTCACCTCTTTCGTTAATATGACTGCTCCCCCATTGGGTATGGTGAGCATTGGCATCTCCTCCCAGGATCGTGCCTATACAACAGCATACATTTACATGAAAGTTGAACCAAAGCAGCAACAACAACAGCTGCGGGCAGAGCTGCAGGTAGCGCATGGGCAGCGATTTTATTTATGGCTATAACATTCTTCAGAATTGACCAATCATGATGAAACTTAACAAACGGACACATAATTACTTAGTGGATGTATATTCCAAATTTGAGTTCAAAATTCCAATAATTACAGTAGTTATGAAAAACATGATTTGCATGGTAGTGGAGGGGGGAGGGGGTGGTGTATCAGAAAAAAAAAACACAAACTCGTCCTTTCTCGGACTCAGGAGAATATGGATACCGAGTTTTCTGACTCTTGTACTTGCTGAGATCCTTGCATTCATACAGATGGACGGACAGATGCACGGACGGACAGACATACAGACATGGATGACAAGACGAGTCGATATAGCCATGTCCGTCTGTCTGTCTGTCTGTCCGTCTGTCTGTATGAGCGCAAGGATCTCAGTAAGTACAAGAGCTAGGATAACCAAAATTGGTATCAAGGTTCCTATAAGCCCTAGGCAGATCGAGTTTGTTTATTTTTTCTGATACACCCCCCCACTCCCCCGCAATTCGTGTTTTTTCTTATAACTTCCGTAATTCTCGGAATTTTGGTAGGTACATCCAGTTAGTACTAATGTGTCCGTGTGCCAAATTTCATCATGATAGGTCAATTCTGAAGAAAGTTATAGCCATAAGTAAAATCGCTGCTCATGCGCTGCCTGCAGCTCTGTCGGCAGCGCTGCCCGCAGCTGTTGTTGTTGTTGCTGCTTTGGTTCAACTTTGTGCTGCATACATACACGCATATAAACACGCATAGGTACGTGATGTAAATGTATGCTGTTAAAACTGAACAAAAACATGTATTCTAATTTAATTTAATTAATTAATTCATTCATTTTTTTTAAATTTTAATTTTTTTTTTTAATTTTTTTTTTTAATTTTTCCTTTTTGTGGAGAGTACAGGGTATTTTACTGTCGGGCTTGCTCGACTGTAGCTTCTCTCTTGTTTTTTTTATATTTATAGTTTGTGGGATCTGCCACGCCTCCTTCAATGTGTTATATACATTACCACTCGACTTTTATACCCTTTTAACGTTTAGGTGCAAGAGCGAAGAAATTTTAAAAATGTAATATTTCAGGATCCAAAAAAAAAAATTTTAATAAAAACCATTGTTTGAGTTGTCAAGAATTTCTTGGTGTTCCCCTTTACTGTGAAGAGAAATTGTTGATCTAATTTCACCTTCCTTGCTCTTAAATTTAGTCAGGAAAAACTTTGTTGTTAGATTCTATAGATAAAAAGCTTATCGAACTTAATGAAGAGGCAATATCCAAAGCTCAGCTTTGCTCATAACGAATTAAGGCTTTATTTACATCACACATGGATACAATTTTGTTGGCATAACATAACACGTTACTATTATTATTTAAATATGTACAATTACTATTGGGAACTCTTTTAAGCTTATACTCTTCAATCTTTATTACTAAGCAGCTATATCGATTCCTTTCGTCTAATAAGTTACGAAATTCAGCATTTGCTTTCTTGTATAATAATATTCATATTAAAACAGCTTGCTATTCACCATTTTTTTAACGTAATTTTTTTACACCTTTGGTTACATGATTGGCGTTTTAGTAAGGATTCCATTCTTTTTTTCAAATATAATATAGCCCATGTTCACCGTCGATAGTGTAGCTTCCCAACAGTGAAAGAATCCATTAAATCAGTCCAGTAGATTCGGAGCCTTTTCAATTCAAACAAACAAACATAGTACAAACAAACAAACAATCAAATCTTTCCTCTTTATAATATTATGTATTAACACCTGGATCTCAGAGACTATAAGAGATAGAGACACCAAATTTTGCACAAAGATGCCTTATGTATGTACGCTATACGAGTTTGTTTTATTTTTTTGATTTGCCACTCCACTTCCCCCCTATGGGGTTTTCCCGATTTTCCATTCGTATAATCGCCTATATCTCGGAGACTATAAGACCTAGGAACACCAAATTTTAGTCCAAGATGCCTTATGTGAATACGCAGAAATATTTTGGAATTTCCCTCTCTCCCCCCTCCTCGCCACAAATCGTAACTCCCGTAATTCTTGGAATTTCGAACTAAAATTTTGGAAATACCCCCAGTTAGTTATTATGTGTCCGTATGCCAAGTTTCACAATGATAGACCGATTTAACAAGAAGTTATAGCCATAAATATATTTGTTGCTGCAGCGCTGCCCAAGCGCTGCCCGCGGCTGTTGTTGATGTTGCTGTTTGGTTGACTGCATGCGCATAGGCATACATACACTCACACAGACGCAATTGCTATGTAAATGTGCAATTATACACCCTTCATGTGAGTTCGAATACCGAAAAAGGTAAAATAGATCAACATTTTTTTTTTTAATTTTCTTAATTTTTTTTATTTTCCATAATTATTGTAAACATATGTACAGAGTAAATACTCTTTGAAATCGAATTCGGGACACCCGACTTTAGCTTTTTTACTTGTTTAAAACTTATATTTTAATAATGTTTTTCAGTTCATGGTCTTTATGATCTCTTTTGGCTTCCTATTGAACAATATAATAAGGATGGAAGGATTATTCGAGGCTTTCAATTAGGAGCTCAAAGTTTTGGCGCCCGTACTGCCATTGCTGCGCTTGAAATAACTTCTAGGATTATTAATATACTGCAGGTAAATATCTTAATTATCCAATATGCCTTTGGTCGAATTAGAAAAGGCAAATAATAATAAGGTATTATGACAGCTATGATAAAAATGTTAGTTTTAAAATGCTTATTTTAATTTTAGTTCACGGCGGAAACCACTTTCGATATACTTTCGGCAGGACCATCCGTAAGAAATAAAAGGCAAATGAAGCAAGGAAAAAAACGACGAAACCGCCCAAAAGATATCCGTGAAGGTGTTGCTAATGCGTATACATTAGTAAAAGAGGTAATTTCATTGAAAATAATAATCGAATTAAACGCTTTAGTATGAACCAAACGTGAATAATTCACTTTGAGTAAATATTATAAAGCTAAGCTTTGCTTTAATAACACATTTATACGTCTAAAAATATCCAATACATTTGTATAACTTATTTTTTAATCTTGTACTTTAAGGGCATAAATGACTCCGCGAATACTTTAATTGAAGCGGCAATAACGGAACATGATCAAAATGGATATACCGGTGCAGTTGGCGCTATAGTTAGGCAAATACCACAGTTAGTTGTATGCCCGGCTGTTTTAGCAACTCAAGCAACTACTAATATCTTAGGAGGGGCGAAAAGTTCTTTGGTGCCTGATGCGAACGTTGAGGCACGAGAAAAATGGAAACATGAAAATAAATAATATAGATAAAACATTACTTTATGATAATAAATTCACAATATTATTATTTTAAAATGATAAATAATTAAAAAATATAACCAATACGAATACGTATGAAGTTTTGGCACAAATAAGAAATATATATATTTGTTATTAAAAATGGCTTAATTGTTTCGTTCAATAATCTTTTGAATACATTTGACCCAATTTTCAAAGAACTTTTACCACTCCACTTGAATTGCATTGCATTGCAATTGAAAAATATATTTGTATACCCTGTACCCAAAGAGTATACTAGTTTAGAGAAAACTTATGTAACAGAAACAAGTGGAGTAACTAAAGTGTCCCGACTTAAAATTAATTAATTAAATAATTAAATTCACATGTTTTTGTTCAGTTTTAACAGCATACATTTACATCACGTGTCTATTCGTGTTTATATGGGAGTATGTATGCAGCACAAAGTTGAACCAAAGCAGCAACAACAACAACAGCTGCGGGCAGCGCTGCCGGCATATCTGCAGGCAGCGCATGAGCAGCGATTTTATTTATGGCTATAACTTTCTTCACAATTGACCTATCATGATGAAACTTGGCACACGGACACATTAGTCTAGCTGGATGTACCTACCGAAATTAATTTCAAAATTCCAAGAATATAAAATATAAAAATGGGAATTGCGGTGGAGTGGGGGGGGGGGGGGGTTTTGGGTGCATCAGAATGAAAAAAATTAACTTGACCTGCCTAGGACTTAGGGGAACCTCGATACCAAGTTTGGTTATTCTAGCTCTTGTACTTCCTGAGATCCTTGCTCTCATACAGACAGACGGACGGACGGACAGACGGACATAGCTATATCGACTTGGCTTGTCATCCTGATCAATAATATATATACTTTGTGGGGTCTGCTACGCCTCCTTCTGTGTGTTACATACATGCGCACAAAACTAGTATAGGCTTTCACCCTTTGGGTACAGGCTATAAAAACGACTTTAAAGTGCTGTGTACATATGTGTACCATATTTATAAAAATTACAAAAAATAAGAAAATTAATTTCTAAAATTGTTGGTCGATTTTACCTCTTTATAGCCCGTACAGAAGGAGGCGTGGCCGACCCCACAAAATATGTATATATATTCTTGATTAGGGTGACAAGCTGAGTCGATATAGCCATGTCCGTCTGTCTGACTGTATGAACGCAAGGAACTTAGAAAGTATAAGAGCTAGAATAACCAAACTTTCTATTTAGATTATCCTAAGTCCGAGAAAGGACGAAATTATGTTATTTTTCTGATGAACAACCCAACTCTCCCGCTATTCGCTATATTGCATAACTCCCGGAATTCTCGGAATATCAATCTCAAATTTGGTAGTCACATCGAGTTTGTGATTATCAGAGGTGCCACAGAAAACTCCGGTGATATTGGCTGCAGTTGTTTTTGAAAACTCCCAAAAAAAAAAACGTCGGTGCCACAGAACTTCGAAAGATTTCATTTTTTCGAGCTTCCCCTCCAAGCCAGCTGTTGTAGTGGCTGATTTTCTACAAGGTTGATTTTATCCAAACTCTTAATTTTTGGCAGATTCAGAGATAAGAGCAACGTTGGTTTTGCGCTCTTAGGTGACCTTGACTTAAGCTCACTTGCTTGGCAGATGGTCATACGATCATCAGTTGTCTGAACGAAAGTTAAATTACATGTGCTCTGATTAAAATAGCACAAGTCGCAAACAAATTTACAAGAATTGGGATATTAAATTAGTGAAGTGTATTTGGGGTCTGACAAGGTATGTTTTTACTGCTAAATTTTTACACTTACTAAAGGAAACATGCTTATAGAAATTCTTGTCTTCCCGGTATTATCCAATAACTTCAAATTGGTGATATTCCTTGAAAAAGTGGTAGACTCGGTTGGAAAGCACGACCACCTAAAAGCTACTATTGCTAATTAAACGTGGAATATAATTTGTGAACCACGCAATATCCACAAACTTTCTACGACCAGTCCTAATTCGACTGGGAGGCTCTCGGATATTTCCAGACAGCATTCAGTAAAAGTCATTTGCCCAGTCAGCGATGTTTCGTATTTAAACGGAATGGCCAGGGATGAAATGGAAAATTAAAGCTCAAAGTAGCATATTACGTCACCCGTCGACCACCACTTGCCGTCCCAGTCGCAGCTCAACACCCAGCTTTAATCTTCGTTGGCGCGACTGCAATTCCATTATGAGGATTATATAGATCTTCAATTCACCAGGATATACATATAGATATATATATGCTGCATATCTATATAGACGTATAACTAGTTCATTTTGCTTTAGTTTTTATACCCTGTACCCAAAGGGTACAAGGGTATATTAGTTTTGTGCGAGTGCACATGGAACACACAGAAGGAGGCTTGGTAGACCGCACAAAGTATATATATTCTTGATCAGCATGACAAGCCGAGTCGATATAGCCATGTCCGTCTGACCGTCTGTCCGTCTGTCTGTATGATTCATTTTTTCTGATCCACCCCCCCACTCCCCCCCTATTAACGATTTTCTATAACCCCCGTAATTCTTGAACTAAAATTTGGTAGTCACATTAGGTTAGTAATTATATATCCGTATACCAAGTCTCATTATGATAGAATGATCGGAAAGAAAGTTATAGCCATATAACCAGGCCCAATGCACACATACATACATATGTACAAGTACACAAACACGCATAAGGCACGATTCTGATGTAAATGTAAATGTATGTATGCATGCATGGAATATTTTTTATTTAATTAGTTAATATTTAGTTAATTAATTAAATTAATTTAGTTAATTAATTAAATTAAATTAATTAAATTAATTTAGTTAATTAATTAAATTAAATTAATTAAATTAATTTAGTTAATTAATTAAATTAAATTAATTAATTAATTTAATTACGTTTTTGTGGGGTGGTACAGGGTATTTAAGAGTTGAGCCTGCTCGACTTTAGCATTCCTTTCTTGTTTTTTTCTCTCTTCTCTGACCAGTCAACGTTAAAATTATAGATTTATTCCATCGATCTGGTCACAATAATGAAACAATAGAGATAATCTCCTGTTCCTGTAAAAACGAATATTAGTTATCATGCAATGCAAAAGTCGAAAGTATTTTGATAATGGCCAAATCACGAGTTGCACCAATTAAACCAATGTCAATTCCGCGACTAGAGTTTCAGGGTACATTGTTGGGAGCTAGACTTAGCAAAATTATAAAAAAGGACTTGCAGATGAACACCACGAAGACATTTATGTGGACAGATTCAGAAATTGTCTTATATTGGCTCAAATCCAGTAGAAAGAGATTTATAACATTTGTAGCTCAACGCTTGGGGGAAATCCAAGAACTTACAAATATGTGTGACTGGCGATACGTACCTTCCAAAATGAATTCCGCAGATGAGGCCACAAAAGTATATGATATTGATTTTTGTAGTAACAATTTATGGCTTAAGGGCACACCATTTTTACAAAAGGACATAAGTAAATGGCCGGTTGGAAAAGTTGCGATTATAGGACGGGACAAAAAGATGTTAGCAAAGAATATGTCAACTTAACAACTTTGACCAAATTGCAGATTATTTTGCCGGACACTTCAAGATTTTCGAATTGGGTGAGATTCCTGAGAACGGTGGCGTGGGTACAAAGATATATCAAAGCTAAGCGAAACAAATTCGTGGACGACGAGCTCACCGCGAAAAAATTAGAAAGAGCCAAAATGTTGATATTTAGGAGAATACAATTAGATTGCTACCAGACCGAAATAGAAAGATTAAAAAAGGACGAACCAATACGTAGTTCAAGCAGCTTGAAATCACTACCAATTATTTTGTCAGATGATGGTTTTCTTAGACTCAGAGGAAGGCTAGATTATTTAAATGAAAATGAGTATGACTTTGATGCCAAAAATCCTATTATTTTGAGCAAAGGCCATATGATTACGAAATCGCTGATACATTACTATCACGTAAAAAACTGTCATATGGGTACTGAAACCGTGATTTCCAATCTTAGACATAAGTTTTGGATTACGAAATGTCGTAATACAGTTAAAAACGTCATCCGCAATTGTCAGCACTGCAAAAACAAAAAAAAAACTCTGTCTTACTCAACAGTGATAGGACAGCTTCCATTATGTCGAATAGAACCAACGCAAGAGCATTTTTGAAAGTGGGAGTTGATTACTTTTGACCGATAGAAGTTACTGTCAACAGAAGCCATGTAAAACGCTATGGTGTAATTTTTACGTGCATGATTTTATCTTGTAATTCGTTCATGAATGTGTTTCGACAGTTTGGGTGCCGACGTGGATTTCCCACTGAATTTTACTCGGATAACGGAACTAATTTTAAAAGTGCGAGTAGAGACATTAAGGACATTATAAAAACCTATTTAAATGATTAAATTTTACAGTTCCTAACAACGAAACAGTGCACTTGGTTTTTCAACCCGCCTCTGACTCCTCACATGGGAGGAGCCTGGGAGAGACTTATTCAGTCAGTCAAAAAATATTTGTGTGAGTTGCTTAAAGAAAGGTATCCCAAGGAGTTTATGCTTAAAACTCTCTTTTGTGAAATTGAATTCATGGTGAATTTTGTATGTGCCCTCTGTTTCGTTACAGTAAGAACCATTAACGCCAAATGACATTTTGATCGTTTAATTACAGAGACTCCTTTTATTCTAATACAACTGACATTGATTTGAAACTTTTGAATATGTGGAAAGCATCACAACGACTAGCTGATATATTTTGGCTAAAATGGAAAAAGAATATAGACAATATTTATTGTACAGTCGCAAATGGAAAAATAATGCAGATAATTTAAAAGAAGGGGATATAGTTTTAATAAATGAATCTGAACTTCCAAGAAATGTTTGGTCAAAAGGCATTACTGTAAAGCATATCCATCAATGGATGTACGCGTTCGTATTGTGGATGTCAGAATAAAAGATAAAATTTATAAGAGACCAATTGTGAAACTGAATACGAAAACGAATACTTTAGTATATTGTAATAAAATAAGTTGTCAGTTTTTTTATTGTTAAAAATTAAGTTGACAGTCCCGCATCGTGCTCAACTGTAGCGTTCTCTCTTGTTTTCTTTGCCTCCTTTTTGAATATTCGATTTAATTTTCTTTTATTGGCT